GGGGTAAAGTAATTTTTTCTTAGCCATAAATGATAGAAAATGACCACCTTGCCCTTGTTCTAATTAATTAAGGAATAATTATAGTATTTAAAATTCAACATCTACTTTTAAAACTTACCATATTTAATTAGAAAATAAAATATAATAACTTTAAAACAAGTCAACCCTTTAAAATTATTATTTTATAAATCTTGAAAATTATGTACAAATTCTGATGGGGGTAAAACATGAGTACAATTTCATAAGAATTAAAAAATAGACAATTGCATCAGAATTTAATATATATGTTCACACATGTATACTTAAAAGGGCAAAATTAAATCTAATTTCATCAAAAGTAGCAACAAAAAGTAACTAAACCCCATATATTTTTTTCAACATACAAACCCACCATTATTTGATGATCAAAGCACCGCCACTTATTCATTTCCTATGTGATACAAACTAACAACACCCTATTTTTTGCCGAAGCACCACTATTCCAACAGTTCAAACCCATATTCATTTTTTATTACCCAAAGACCTCTTGTTTTAAAAAAAAAAATAAAAAAATAAAAAAAGAAATCCAAGTTTTTAACCTTGATAACATTTCGGTGTATAAATATAATTTTAGGAGACATTTAGGGATATGTTGGTAAATGACAATGTTAAGGGTTAACTAGTAAATTGACAGCGCGAGCCATCGTTTCTCTGTCCTCCATTATTGAAGACCTTCATGATTTCTCTCTCCTTCATTGTTGAAAACCTTTCTCCATGACAAACACCTACCCTTATAGGGTTAACAATTCACCTAAACTTCATGTATTTCTTAGGGTTTTATTTGAATTCTTATCACGAACTTCCTGGGCTAGGATTCTTCTCACTCTGTATCTCTCTTTTGTTTCGAGGAGGAAGATAATTCTATCTCTTTCTCTTTTGTTTCGAGGAAGAAGATGAGGCATTTATGGAAGGGAGTTTTAAGTTGGTATACATTTTCTCTCTATTTCCTTGCCTTAACAACATAATTTCCTCAGCTGAAAGAAAATTCTTATTTCTACATTGAGTTGATTTCTCCATTGAATTTAATGGTGGCCATGGAGGGGAGGTGAGAGAAAGAAATAGGAATACTTTAAAGTATGTTAATGGTGTGAGTTCACAAAGAATATACCCTTTTTTAATTTATTATTTATTTTTTAATTTTAATTTATTCTTTTTTTACCGAGTTAGCACAAAAACAAAAATATAATCACAAATTTCCATCTGATTATCTTTGTGATTAATCTGGGCCTCCTTATTTTTTTAAGCGAATGAAACACCTCTCTATTTTTTTATACCTCAAATCACCTAAGATGTTTGGTAAAATGTCTAAATATTTTGGGGAATGAAAAAGAATTAGAAAGAAGATAATTACTTGTGCCTAAAGCCCAATATATGTAGGGAGTGCAAAAAGAATGATAAAGGTAGACTGTTCCAAGTATCCTGTGTGTCCAACTAATATTCTTGGTGCCAAAATCCAAGTAAACCAAAACCTTTCGGTTTGATTCAATTCACAATTTCATCAATATGACGACTTGAATATCCGACATGTTTTTTGTTGTCGTTTAAATTTGATTTGATTCAATTCACAATTTGTTTCAATAACGTCACATTCCCGTTTAAATGTCTAGAATCCAATTCTTGGTTGCATTTTTGAATTTTGAGTGTGTTTTTAGGTTGTATTTGCAAATAAAATAGACTTAAAAGGTTGTAACCCGCAAAGGGGGTACTTTTGTTCGTTATTGTATTCGAGTTTCTTTTTTTGAAGTTTTAATAATAACACCATTTAATGATTTTTGCTCCCTCCGTTCCACAGTGATGTTTCTATTTGAAATCTTTTGACTTTAAAAATAAGAGAGAATCTTTGAAATTTCTGTTAATCTATATGAACAAATATTCCTATTAATAATTTTAAAGAGCGAAATTGTGAATTTTTTTTCTTTTGGCTTTTTGTTCAACTAAAGGCTATTATACATATATACTTTTTTTTTTAATCCAATCATTAGTTATTGAAGATTTTATGTCTTCGTCAAGTGCAATTACTAGATATATAAATGGATCAAATTATGGAGATAATTAAGTTCGTCCATTTGGGTCGTCGTTATATCATAGCTAGAGGTATTAGCAATCTTTGGGCTAGTAAAATAGGCCAAAGCCTAATCGAACGGATCCTATAAGGTCACACAAAGGGGCTAGATTCAACATAAGAGGAAGAGGTCCATGATTGGCTTCTCCCTCTAGGTGGCCGACCATTAGGGTCTTTTAGTGGGCTTGGGTTTTCTAACTTAGTCTACTTATAATATGATAATAAATAGACTAGGTGCCTAGGGTTTGATATAGATCAGTTAACAGTTAATTTGATCAAACTCTAATTAGCAAACACGAAATCAACCCCTCTCAAACTCCCTCTCTCACGTCCGGCTCTCTCCTCCATATCTTGCACCGGTGGTGTGTACGGTGGTGGTGATGTCTTGTGGTGGTCCTATTGTCCGCAAAGGTGGTGATCATGGTGTTTCCTCAATCATCCGACCAATATAGCATTGGTGGACGTTCGATCAAATCTCGTGGACTAAGTAGAGGAGCAACGCTTGGAGCTTTATTCTTTCTCTAATTGACGGTTAATCGCAACGTGAAAATCACGCTTCAGAGGTATAATTATGTGATTCTTATGTGTTATGCATGTGATCCTGTTTCGGGTGCGTATGAATGTGATTCATGAAATTTTGCGTAGAGTACCTAAATCCCTACAGTGGTATAAGTTAGCCTCTTGCATGAGCACGTTTGATCATAATAATATGATTTTGATCGCGTTTACACGTCCTTATGACTTGGAAACAGAGGTGTTTTTGGCACTCATGTGTCTTGTGGGCAATGAAGTGTCATGGGCACTTCCTTTACTATCAAGAATTCTTAAAAATGACCCACGTCGTCTTTTTTTGGAAGCGATCTCACCGGTTGCTTAGTAAATTTTGAGAAAAACTTCGGGAAGTCATAACTTGGCCCTCGGGTGTCCAAATTGAGCAAATTTTTTTCGGTTTTTTCACCATATACCCCTGAGTTTTTTGTTTATTCACCATATACGCTTGAAAATTTTCAAATTCACCATATATCCCTGAGTTGTTTACAAAAATTCACCATATACACTTAATGACAACAAGATGAGTGGAATTTGGTTAATTGAATTGATTTGGTGAATTGTTTATGAGGCATGAATGTTGTGGAATGATTTATTGTTGGAATTGATGATGTTTGGTATATTATAGATGAACCACACTTTTATTATTGACATGATTAAAGACATGTTTAATTAAACTAAATGTTTAATTGGTTTGGAATATTGAAAAGAAATTTTATTATGGTTCATATAATTTTTATTGATGCTATAAGCATGGGGATTTAGCTATTTAAGTGTCTAGGTACACGAGAATTAAACTATATTTTGGTGCCTACGTGCACTTAAGGTGTTTTAAACATCGAGGGATGGGATTTGTGGTGCATTATGCGCTTAAGGTGTTTCTATACCAAGGTAGTTTAAAAAGGGTTAAACATTAAATTAATTGTGATCACTAATCATTCAAGAATTAAATTGGAATGTCTGATGGCTGGAATGAACTATGTTGATTGATTGTTTTATGGATTGAGAGTCATCACTTAGTTTAAAATATGTAAATAACGTAAGAAATAAATTGGAATGTTTGATGGCTTGAATGAACTATGTTGATTGATTGTTTGATGGCTTGAATGAACTCTGTTGATTGATTGTTTTATGGATTGAGAGTGATCACTTAGTTTAAAATTTTTAAATATTTTTGATAAAAGTAAGAGTTTTTGATGAAAGTCTTTGATTTTGGTTTGAACATGGAGTTCGTGATGATGGTAGGTTGAAGAAAAGTGGCGAAATTGAAGAAAATTCTATGTTGTCTATATAAACAACCAGATCTAGAATTTTAGAGGAGATGGAAAATGAATAATATGGGGGTTTTGCCATATTTAAGCTCATACAACCAACAAATTGTAAAATTATTTGAGGGCATTTGTAAAGTGGACAAAATCAAGCAAAGAGTTCAATTTTTCTTTGAAAAACCAGTTTGAATGGCAATATACAAAGAGAGAGAAAGAGTTAAAACTAGAGGTTGAAGATGAAGTTTGAGTAGAGAGAGGGAAAAAGTGACCGTTACCAATTAATGCCAAAAGGGATGACCAGTAGTTCAGTACATAAACCAAGAAAAAAACGCTAGCTCACTATTTTTTGAGGATTATTGAGGAATTAATTAAGTGAAATGAGGGTATTATTGTCAAAAATTACAGTCCTAAAATAGAAGGCGGGAGGGGGGGGGGGTACTAAACCACGTCCGGTATTTACCGAGTAACTCCCGTATTTTTATATGAACTCCCTTAAGTAATCCTTTTTTAAATAACTCTTCAATCTTCTCTCTCTTACTTTCACTTTTACTTTTCTCTCTCTTCACCTTAAGAATTTCATCCACAATCACCACCAAGCAAACCACCACAATTCCGTCACCACCAAGCAAAGCCACCACAATTCCGTCGCCACCAAGGGTTGCGACCGGCTACAAGGGACGATGTCAAGAAATTGGAAAGGTAAGGGGGTTGGCGATCAGGTACTTGTTTCACATATATTTTTTTTTTTTTTTTTTTTATTTCAGTCGTTCCAGACGAACGCCTGAAATTTTAGAATGTTCCAATCTCCCCCGAAACATTCTAAAATTTCAGGCATTCCCCCCATAACATTCTAAAATTTTAGGCGTTTCCCCCTTTGAGCGCCTGAAATTTTAGCATGTTCCAAGGGTGATTCTAAAATTTAAGGCGTTCCTTCTATGATTAAGAAATAAATAAAAAAAAGACAAAAATTCAGAGCATTCCCCGACTCCGTAATGCTCCGACGACCTTTCCAGTGGCGTCGTTGCTTCCTTAAACTCGTCCATTCAACGTTTGCGCTAATTGGTGAAGAGTAAAACAATATTTTTTAAAAAAATATGACGTGGTGGTTGTTTGTAGGTGATGGTTGTTTGGTGGTTGGTGGGGTAACAAGTTAGAAAGTGGTTAAAAAAGTGAAAGTGAAATAGAAATAGGGTACATTTTATATGGGGGCATGTTTATAAAGTCATGTTAATATCCGAGCGTTACCCAGTAAATAATAGGCATCTAATTTTGAAAATCCAAAAAAGAAATACAGGCTTATAAATAAGTATGAAGGGAGTATTAAACTGAAATGTGGTTAGGGGTTTAAGGGAGGACCCACAGCAAAATTGAAACACTAACGCTCCCCTGAATTTGAAAAACACAGAAGAGCGCGAAAAAGACAACCCACCACACTCTCTCTCGAATTTCGTCTTCTTCTCGTGTTTCCCCATTTTCCAGCATTTCTCTCAGATTCCCTGTTTAATTAATCATTTCTGCTCCTCTAACTACGACTTCTCTACTGTTTTCCCCATTTCTTTTTTACATTTTCAAAATTATTCACATTCTACCCTTTTCAAATTTCTGTTTTTTAATTTTCCTTCAAATTATTATTAAATTCAAATAAAATACTATTTTTTGAATTGTTCCCAGTTCAAAATTTTCAAACCCCATTTCGAGGTACTTGTAGTTGTACTACGTCTGCTGTGGAATGAGTTGTTTTCTCTCTCCTCTTCCTCTTCTCGAGCTTCTAGCTCGTCAACTATGGAGCTTGTTGAAGGATTGATAAATGGTAAGTTTTTTTTTTCTTCCTACCCTTTTATGTTTTCTGGGTTTTAAGTTTTAAGCTATATGGTATTCAGTTAGTCCCAAATTAATAGTTGCGTTGATAGTGTAATTTATTTTGAACCCGTGTTGTGACAATTAAATCGGGACGAAGGGAGCACAAATAGTTTGGATCTGTTTATGTGAAATATGCATTTTATTCAAAAAATTTGGTTGTGTGTTAATATGTGTTGAATTCATTATATTCTGATTTCTGGTTGTTTTTATATTTTTTGTAAATTTAGAAATTACAATTAGCTAATGGGTAGCCAAAAATAGCATTATTGTTCTTGTTGGTTTCGGGTTGTCAGTAATATGATTTGGATTGCGTCAGTTTTAGTTGAAGTGATATGACAGAATCCACGACTTAATAAAGGAGAATCACAAAAGGTAATGATGTAGACGGGGTTTGATCTAAGTTCTTGTGTTGGGTTATGGGTACGAGCAGTAGCACTCCCGAGACTAACTAATTAATCTAGTTAGCACGAGCTAATGAAAGTGAAGCAATATTCTCTACACCATTAAGTTGTTTATTTTGAGTTGTGATGCATATTTGTTGTCTGATGTCTTGCAGCACAAAGTAGGGCTGTTGTGGAAGCTTCAGTGGTCTATTGACCTATGAATGACTCAGATTTCTAGCACTTGGTGTGCTTGGAGTTGTTTTATTCCTCTTGAAATCGGTTAAGTTTTTATCCTTTTGTCATTGGAAGGTTAAGTTTTTATCCTTTTGTCATTGGAAGATTGAGTTTCGAAATAGAAACAACTGAAGATGATGAAGAGAAGAACTGAGGTGAAATCAAGGGGTTCTAAAAAGGTGGCTAATCCACAACATGTTGTGTATGAACTCAAGCATCGAGTTGTTCTTGCTATTAATAAGATTGCGGACCGTGATACATACCAAATTGGAGTTCAGGAGTTGGAAAAAACAGCTGAAAGTTTGAACCTAGATGGACTTGTCCCATTTTTGTCATGTATATTGGATTCAGATTCGGAACAAAAGAGTGCAGTTCGCAAGGAATGTGTTAGGGTGATGGGAGTTTTGGTGAAAATGCATGGGGATCTTATAGGGCCACACTTGGCGAAGATGGTTGCTTCAATCGTAAAACGACTAAAGGATCAGGATTCTGTTGTTAGGGATACATGTGTGGAGACAATGGGTGTTTTTGCATCAGAATTTGGAAATCGTCAAGTTGAAACTGATGGTGTCTTTGTTTTGCTAGTGAGGCCCTTGTTTGAGGCCTTGGGTGATCAGAATAAGCAGATTCAGGCAGGTGCTGCAATGTGTTTAGCCAGGGTCATTGAAAACATGACTGATCCTCCAGTGTCAATCTTGCAAAAGATGTTGGCTCGCACCATGAAATTGCTCAAGAATCCACACTTCAAGGCTAAACCAGCAGTGATTGAATTGAACAAAAGTCTTATTCAGGTTAGTTAAGTTCCGAGGTCTACATAATCTCATTATACTTGTATGTTTTGTACTATGCTAACCTTATTATGCATAACTTTGGGGGAGGGTATGTTTGCAGAATATGCGACAGTCTAGCTTTCAGCATATGTGGTTTATTTAGGCTAAGTTTCTTGTTTCATCAATTTAATAGTTATAGGAGTGCACAATGAAATGCATAGAAGCAGAAAAGGATTATTTCATTACATTGACGACTTGCAAATTGTAGAACCAATCTTTAGAATTTTATTATATTGCTTATTGTCCCCTTGATGTTGTGTGCATATTCTTGATGCTTAGGCGGGAGGTGCTCTGTCACATAGTGCTTTATCAACCGCAATTTGCAGCATACAAGAAGCTCTAAAGGATAGTGATTGGACAACTCGTAAGGCTGCGTCATTAGCATTGGGGGAGATAGCTTCAAGTGGAGGATCCTTCTTGGTGCCTTTTAAGGCTTCTTGCATTCAAGCACTTGAATCATGTCGCTTTGATAAGGTCAATATTGATAATACCTCTTCTATTTAAAAAGATATTAAGCCTACATCATACAAAAGGTTTAGTTAACGTATGCTTCCTCTTATTATACAGGTGAAACCAGTAAGAGATACAGTATCACAAGCACTGCATTGCTGGAGAAGCATTGGACGACAGGATGTGCCCGAACCTTCAGGTTAGCTGATTTGGCCGGTAGAATTATGCTTTGGATTTTGATTTAATGATTTAATCCTACCCTAGGACATTTTAGCCTTAATGGCCTAATCATAGCTTAGGATTGTCATGAATCTAATTCTAAAGTTGATACCTAGCCTTTTTCTATTTTCTGCATTCATGCTTGCAATTAGTTTTCAGTTGCATGAATTAACTAGATCAAATAATCATAATTCTAGATTTTTTGAAGTTTCTTTTGACATGCCTTTGTTTTCAAGAAGATTGTTCAAGGGCTCAAGTAAAAAAACAAAAGATAGTGAGAGAGTGAAGTACTGGTTTGTTGGGGTATGGAATCATGGTACTTCAAAAGGAGTACATTTTTATCACAACTGTCCTGATATATATATGAAGGGAAACTTTATTGAGTTTATGTTACATAAATATAAGTAGAGCAAAAAGTTTAAAATGAAAAGAAGCATGTTATGAAATAAGAAGGTTTCAAATGAGTTTGGCGTATAGCAAGTAGGTAATTATGTTAAAGGGACAAGTTTGTACATATTTTCTCATGAAAGAGACAGAGCCATCTAATGAATGATTTCTGTTAGGCATTTTATTGTGCCAATGAATTGGTGAAAAGGGCCATGTAGCAAGAACTTTTATTCTTAGAATGCTGATAACTTATACTTTGTACTAAAAAACCGCACCTGACTAATAGGAGCACAAGCACCATTTACAGACCTATAAATCAAAGGATGGTATACCATTTTTGCTCCCTTTTAAATAAAGATGTGTAATGTCTTTTAAGCCAAGGATACGGGTCTTCCATTTGTAAAGTTGTATAAACAATTTAAGTTCCATCTAGATACAGAAGAGTGATGCCTGGTGCTATGGTTGGACCTTGTTTGGTAGGGCCTTAATGGTCTTGATCATCATATCGTTATGCCTGACTAATTTTATTTAAGTGCTTTACCTTGACTTCTTTCCCTTTCTCTGGTTTTTCTCGGCGGGTCCTTTAGTTTTTTTTTACTCCTAGTCCAGATTGGTTTGAGGTAATGATGCCAATCATCCAAATTTCCCTGACTCTGCTAGTTATAGTGCCCTAATGTGATGAATTAAGTTTGGTTACTGAAGAAGTATTAGAAAGTGTACTTGTGAAGAGAAATCTGCAAATGTTCGATTCATCTGATTTTTCAATTTCTTTGGTGGTGCACTACTGCTGGAACATTTTTCTGCTCCATGAACATTTATATCACTGTTACCAGCATGATCTCAATCATTATTTAGCCCATGTCTGGCATGATCTAATCGATGGTTTGTCATATTGCAGATAGTTTGTGCGGTGATGACTGCAGTGATCTAATTACTGCTGGAAGCTCTATGTGGAAAGATGTTTCTCATACAGAATCAAAGACCAATGTTGTAAGGAATAGAGCTTTCGAATCAAGAAGAAAAGGAAGTCCTAATTTCGTTGAGATTTCTAGCAAATCTAATAACAGTGACTGGCATGTTGATGTTGCTGTTCCAAAAATGCACTCCGGTATTTCACAGTATCTTCATAATGATAAATCTGGAAGCAGCTCTGTTTGTAAGACACAAGAAACAGTGACGGCTGATGTCATAAGCATGAAAGACGTTGGGCATGAGTATGATCTAATTGACGACAAGCAGGAGTATTCATCTGCATCGAACCGTGTTTCAGATAATTTTACTAACAAGTTTATGTCAGATTTCCATTGCAATTCTCGTAGAGGTGATATCACAAAGTCAGTAGGAGGAGAAAACAGGTTTGCAGTGGGAAAAAATGATGTTGAAACTGAAAAGCAGTCATACATATCAAAGCTGGAAGATCGAAGAAGTCTTGATTCTACAGTTACAGAAGCTGATGAGTGTCATTCTGTGCGTGTTTATCGTCCCCAAACAGAAAACGAGATTATTTCTATCCAGAAACAGCTTATGGAAATAGAAAACAAGCAGTCAAGATTGATGGATATCTTACAGGTAACTGCTTAGATGCTTTAAGTATGCTTTTGTGCGCTGCCCAACTTCCATTGTCCACCAGTCGAAGTATACATGACATTTTCTTATATTTTAGATTCTTCAAATGGCCTTCAGTAATAACTCTGAACCCTATTATTCTCCTATCAGCATTTTTTTTCATTACAGGCCAACCTATACTAAAAGCATTATGAATATGAGAAGTAGATAAGGAAAAACAGAACTGAACTCTGTTGTTTGTTAATACTACAAGCCAATGATTTCTTGTAATTTGATGTATTTCTGAAAAGGAGCAAATCACTGTTTCCTTGATCATACGGTGATTTGTGACTCTTGTGTGATAAAATTTTTGGAGTCTGGTCCGACCATGGTAACATGGCCTACTAGTTAGCACATCAATGCATGGTTAAATTTTCTGTCAGATTTTGCAAATTATTCATATGCTGTTAAATCTGCTCTTTGTTTTGTGACAGGGATTTACAATGAGCACCATGGAGACCTTATCTATCATACAATTAAAGGTTTCAAGTCTGGAACATGCTGTTGACAGAATTGTGCATGACCTTGCTCAGGGAGGCAAATTTAGTGATCTCGCTAGCAGGGGATCTGTTGAAAAAGGCCGGAGTGTTATTTCTCCTGGAATGTCCAACAATTCCACTCCTAGGCAATCAATCGAAACTCAGGACCGAAATCTTGCTGCACAATGCTTAAGCAACAGAAACAGTTGGGAGGGGAAAGCTGTAGGGATGAAGAATAAAAGCAATCCTATTAGCCCATGTCTGGACTCTCGAAGACAACCATTGTCAATGGTGAATAGAAATCATATTAGAGAAGGGCCTGAGAAAAGTACTGGGCCGAATCTGCAAAACACAACCTACCACCGAAGCAGGAAAACTAACATAATTTCTTCAATTTCTCAGGGTAATACTAGGCAGAATGGAAGAGTGGATAAAAATGACATTGTTTCTTCAACTTCTCATGGTAATACTCAGCTGAATGGAAGAGTGGATAATAATGACCTCTGGAAGTATGTTAAGAGTCTTCTGTGCGAAGGGGACCTTGACTCTGCCTACAGAGAAGCTCTCTATTCAGGCGATCAACTACTTCTGATTGAGCTCATTGATGGAACTGGTCCCGTGCTGGATAGTTTGTCAGATGAGACCATCAGCAATCTCTTTATTGCATTAGCATCATGTGCCTCGGAACACAGAATTGTTGAATCTATAATTCCATGGTTGCAGCAGGTAATTTATGTGACTTCCTCACAAATTTATGTCAGAATTTTGTTTCATATTAACCTTCGTGCTTGTTAATTCATGACTGTACTCTTTAGAGTAACTTAAATGTCAATGGTTCAGTGATCACTTTTTGATGATGACTTCTTCCCTTTAATGGGAGTTAAATAATTGTCTCACGGAGTCACTGGTAAAATGCAATCAGGAACCTGAAAATTATTGGAGGTCATGCAAATTAAACCTTCATGCTTCTTTTCACATTACAGTTGTATTATATGCCAATATGACATTTATAACTTGTTAATAGAAAGCTACATTACAAGGATATGGTCACATAAATTTCATCTCACTTATTAGATTATCATATTTATGGAAATATGAATTTCATCTACTTGTCAGTTTAATGTTGTCATAAAATAGTCTGCCCTGAACATTCTTGCTGACCTTTTCTTCATTACAGATAGTAGATCTGAGCACAATTCACGGACCAAACTGTGTTCCTCTTTCTCTGAAAGTAAAGAGAGATATTCTATCGGCAGTGCAGGAAGCATTGGATGTTGAAGTTACTCATCCTACAAAGAGACGATTGGTCGCCCAACTAGCGATGAAATTACAACAAATTTGGGGTTAGGCTGTTTTCTCATATGGTATGCTGTCAAATGACCTGTTTCGTGAAATGAACATGCTGAAAAGTAGGTCTTGTAAGGTCATTACTGCCATTGGAGTTGAGAAGATGCATCTAATCTTCCTAGAAACTGACATTATTGTAATATATCTCAACCTCAATTTTGACTCTCTGCTTTTTTTTCACTCTCAGATTATCTAGTGTCCAAAAAGATATTCCAGAAATCTAAAGCTTCAGCCTACATAGCAACTTCCATTGAAAAAAGTCAAAATTTCTCTAATTTCTGAACTAAATTTCCAGCTCAATTTTGCAGCCTAAATTTCTGACATCTCGCCTCACTTATCTGATATGATGCCATGATGGGCTGCAAACATATCACTTATTTGAGACTAGTGGCCCTTATCTGAATTTATTTATAGTTTTGTCCTCCCTAGTATGATTCTAGTTGTAAAATGGACTAAACAACCATTATCAGAACTTATCTAAAATTATCTTGGTTCTTATAATTTATTTAATTTTATATAAACATAATCTTATCTGATACAGTTACACCCCCCCCCTCCCTTTTTTTTCCTTTCCTTTTTTAGATGATATGCCTTTGTTGTGAATTGGTGGATGTATAGTTTTTATTGTACTTGATTTTTCCCATTCTTTCTATAGACTAGCAAATGTCAGCATATCTTGAATCCCATCCTTTTGCTCTTCTGTAATTCTGTCTGCTGCTTTCAATTTTACAGTCAGTAAGTTGTCAATTTGCTGATTTTGATTGCTGTCTTTTGTAGGACAGTGTCCTTCGACGTTGACTAAGGTGATGCTCCGGCTACTCTGAGTTAGTATGTATCTTGTAGGTGTCAATCTTTATCTTCTTTTTCCATTACAAGCTTAGACTAAGATTCTACCAGTAGAACAGTTTGTACATCTTGCATAATGTTGTCAGAAAGTTTCTCTACTAGTCATGTGCATGGATGATCGATTCTAATTTAGTGTGCTATCTTCCACAAGAAGTGGTAAGCAGCGATTATTAATGATCTCATATGATGACATGAATCGTACTAGCTGGATCACACGTATGTAAAATTTTGTCAAGCTTGTGGAAGCTGATTTACAGTTAATGAACATGATTGCAGCTGGAATTTGCACCGTAGGGCTGAACTCTCTCTTCCAATGGTTGTACCTTAGTTTAACAAATTTTTTAATTTACAATTTATGTATTTATAACCCTAAAGTAGCATATGATATGAAAGATGTTTACTATGCTCAGCTGCCTCCTGTATGGATTGGAATCCCATCGTTGGACACCGGCAGAGTCACCCAACTCCTCCACCATAGGCAACATCTAGCACAATAGGTCTGTTATCAAGTAATCTGCTTTATCTGCAGAGTAGTTATGGTATTTTCAGTTTCAATTTCATCGCATTTGTCACGTAGTTTGCCTGATTATTTTCATTGACACAAGATGCTCCCATATGCACATTATAACATCTAACTTGATTTACAGATTGTATCAACCTGTCAAATGTAAACAGGTTGTAACCTGTCTCAATAACTTGAATCTGGCTTGACACGAATTAAAGTGACTTGAACTTGACCTGTTTTGATCTATCCGTTTATCATGACTATGTAAAAATTGTAAATACGAATATTATCAGAAACAAAATAAGATGTTAAGAACCCTACTTATATATTTAGACAATGGTTTAGAAGGAGAGTATGGCGTATACAAAAGAAAGCACAACTCATAGAGAAACTTTGAATTATTTCACAAAATCAGCCGATTTACTTCAAATCAATCTTTCTAGTTTTCCGTTTGCATTTCCATTTGAAAACAAACACTAAACCTCATGATGAGGTAGTGATCCCCCAAATTTATTTTTGCTCAATCAATTTTTGCTGACCTTTTGCTTTACTACTAACATATGGTGAAACTTATCTTTTAGTCAAACATTGGTTATTTTTGTTGTACAAAAATTATATGTTAACTTATAATTGTTGAAACTCATTTTCAAGAATTGAAAATTGTAAAGTATTAATACTCTCTCTATCCATAAATAATCATCTAATATTAAGGTACGAAAGTTAGTGGAGGGTTTCACATCACATGGGTTGAGTGTAAAATTTATCCATTTTATGAAACTAAAAGATTTTTTTGAAAAATCCCTAAAAAGAATAGCTTATACTTGTTGAAACTCATCTTCAAGATATGAGAATTATTGAGTATAAATACTCCTCGCTACAAATAATTTTATTAGGTTTGGACATGTATATTAAGGAACTTAGTAGGGTGGAGTGAGAATGTGATAGAAAGAAATTTAATGGAGGAGTCCACATCATATGAGTTGAGTGTAAATTCAATCCATTTTATCCAATTAAAAGTCTTTTTTGTGAAAATTCTAAAAAGAAATACAAGAAGATTATTTGTGAACGGATAAAGTATTTCTTATTGATAAAATAATAAGTGCGCACTTTGCTATACAACGTGAAGGGTAGAACATGGTATCTACTTTCCCTTTTGATAACAGATAACATTTAATTGCGTGACAATTAAAAAAATAAGGGATTAATGTCATAATTGATTTGAGTATGAGTGTCCATTATACTTTGTATATATCACTCATTCATTCAGAATTCTCCAAATGACCAAAAAAAAGTGTTGGATGTACTAGAAAATGACATATACAACAATAGGACTATAATAAAAATGAATTTATAAAATGTTAGATTATGTCATTATCAATCTCTATTTACATCCAAATTGGTTACTACTCCCTGTTGATACCGAAGGCTTGACAAAATATAGCTACTACTCAGAGAATCAATGCCTCAATTCTCTCTCATACAAGATTTGCTTCCGAGATCAGACAACTAGACGAATACACCACTTTGCAGTGCTTGAACATTCATTTCGAAATCTGATCTCTGAAAGATCTATTGTGAGTCCTTAATTCAGGGGAATGACTGCGACGGGAAAGACTGCGGCCAAAAAAATCATTTTGAGGCTCACTCATGGCTCTACCCTCTCTCCTCCTTCGACGTTCATGCTGTACACCAACTCTTTCTTCTTCATTCTTAGCAAGAGTTTTCTTCTCCACTCGAGGGTCCACGTTAAGTTTCTCTTTAGGAGCTTCATAAAGGGTGACTCCACCATTTTGAGATGACAATGCCGTTTCCCGGGTTTGCTCCTCCTCATAAACAGATTCAAGAACTTCCACTGCTTGACTCATTGGAGGTCTTCCCTTCGGATTTTGGCTAAGGCATTGGTACCCAAGGCTTGCCACTTTCATCATAGCCTTGACTGAATACTGCCCATCAATTCTTGCATCTAAAATTCGAAGAAGTTTCTTATTATTGTTCAAGAGAGGGCGACACCATTCTACCAGATTATGTTCTCGGCTGGGTCTACTCTTGTCTAATGCTCTCCTTCCAATGAGCATCTCAAGCAGCACAACTCCAAAACCATAGACATCACTTCGTGCCGTTAGATGCCCTGACAAAAATAGGCAACTTCACATTGATGGCCTCACTAAAAGAATGTATAAATATCAATAAAATTTTTAACTCCATCCATCCATAATAAAAAAAAGTCACATAATACAACTATTAGTAATGGTTAGTGATCCCCTAAAAAAAAAAGTAATGGTTCATGATTGTATGTCCTAATATGCCATCACTTAAATTAAGTGTTGGAATGACGATTAAATTCAAACATAGTATTATGACGGGTCTTATAGTAAAATTGTTGCATTAATTAAGAGTTGGGATGATCAGCAGATGTTAATTACCGCAAATTATCTTACGCTACAATCCAAGTCAGGAAAACTAAAAGTTATAATGACGGAATATGCAACTCCGAAAGATGCCCACATAATGAAAGACAAAAAGGTTACATGTTATCGTATGTGTCACTGGCACACTCCAAAGCAAAGCAAATAATGGGGCTCATGGTATTCATTAACTTTTGTACATCAAAAGCATAGACAACACAATAATTATACAACTACAAACATGCAAGGTTAGAATCTAATGGGATAGAAACTATTAAAACAGCCTAATCAGATTCTCATTAAAAGCATAGACAACACAATATTTATACAACAGCTTGGAAGCCAATATACAAGGTCAGAATCTAATGGGATAGAACTATTAAACAGCCTAATCGGTTTCTTTAGAGCTTCTCACTCTTTGCATTTTCTCTCAATTCATAGAGAAGTAATGGACCAAATCTAAACCTGTGTTAATTAAAGGAAAGGCACCCAGTTGGTTGAAATTTAATAATCCCACCAAGCCAGATCGAGCCTCACAACTGGTATGCTGTGTAACGAATACATACCATCTACTCTCTTTGCAATAGTCACGTATATTAATAAGATGTCTAGAAAGACACCACCTTTCCTACTACAATAGTAATTCTCTGTCCCTTTTTATTCTTCCACTTTCCCTGTTGAGGTGTCACTAGTTATTTCTTCCTACTTTCACTTTTCCTTTTTTGGTCAGCATTGTCCAATATTATACCCTTTTTGGTATAATATTTGGGGTCCTACTTACTATCTATCACCCAACAGCAACTCACCTTTTTCTCTCCTTCCAGTTAAAAGTAGAGACATCATCCCACTTTCTCCATCTCTTAAGTATTAAACTATGTGGCCCAAAAGGGCGGATGAATAATTATGGATGGAGGGAGTTGATCTTAATGATGAGAGTATGAAAGTTAGATCGGGTCTATGCCAAAATGGTCCACCCTCTCTCCCCCTCCCCCCACCCCCCTCCCGAGTATATGCTTCAACAGGAATCGCACAAGGGGAGATTGATACAATAGAAACCTCAGTATGATTTATGATTAAATGTCCTGATATGCCACTACTTAAATAAAATAATAACAGGAGGATAGGGAAAACACTTCTATTATCAAGTGTCATTTTTGTGAAGTCATGTTATATCCTTAATTATAAGTGGTTAAAACAATGAAATAATAATTTCAGACAATGTATAATCCAGATTTTTCCCCCAAAAATGCCCTTATTTGAAATGCATGAAAACTGTTTTAGAAGCTGGAAGGCAAAGCAGTGCATAAGACGTAGTACAGTGTAAGATGTAACTCACATTGAAGCAAATCATTTGTCAAAAATTTCGAAGAGAAGAAGATACCCTCCGCAAGGGCAAGATGAACTTATCAATCTAACAGTACATTAGAAGCCTTACCAGTCATCACATATTCTGGAGCTGCATAGCCATAAGTGCCCATAACACGTGTTGATACATGTGTTTGGTCACCCATCGGCCCTTCCTTAGCAAGCCCAAAGTCAGAAAGTTTTGCATTAAAATTCTGCACATTGCAAAAGAAAATATCAATCAGAAAAGTCAGCTATAGCAAAGGCAAATCAGGATGGGACAACTATATATTTCACTTTAAAATTTAAATTTAAAAAAAAAAAATCAAAAAAAATGAAAAACGAAGAAGAAAGAATAAAGATATTGAAGCAAAATGTGTACATTATCAGCATTACAAAGGATATTAGAATAGAAAAAAAAAATCAAGAAAAAAAGGTCAGAGCCCTTACGACCCTACCCACTTTTCCCAACACAAAAAAGAACCCAAAAGCATATATGTTCTGTAAGTACTTCATACATACAAACTGCTAATCGAAAAACATCTCATGTTTCTGAGATTATTGGTAAAAAAAAGTACTTCTAAAAATGAAAGCGGAGTTAGTTAGAAAAAGGCAAGGGACAACAGCTAACCGCATCAAGCAAGATATTTGATGTCTTGAAATCACGGTAAATGATTTGCCGCTCCAACCCATGAAGGAAAGCAAGCCCTTTTGCAGCATCAAGAGCAATTTTTATTCGCCTCAACCACGTGAGGGTAGAAGACATTCCTTGCAACAGCAGAGATACTAAGTGAGTACACTATATACGAAAAAACTTTAAAAACACTAGTTCTTATTCATATCAATGCATGGTATTGTCCTGTTTTTTAAACGATGGTTGGCATATTTAGGAGAGTTGTTTGTCATCTATTTTGAATCTTTTTGTTATTTATCATATGAATAAATGCATAAATTCTTAAGTTTTTAGCTAGACATGTTTTCATAACTTGATTGAAGATACGATGGGATTTTGCTAATTTAGAGTTTTTAATATGGTCATGGTATGTGCCGGTCAAACATGAAAGATTGTCATGGCCATATGGAGGACTTGGTGAGATCATGGGATGATCAATGCCTTTTAATAATACAGTACTTATAGACAATAAATGTATGGAATTTTGATTGTCTTTCTGTCTTGCAATTCAGGAAAATACAAAATGCGTTGAAGAATACAAATGTACATATTAACAATAACATGTCTTTCTCATTCACCTATTACATCTACCTGATAGCTATATAATTCAATGAAGGGGTCCATTCTCATGTCAAATCCGTTCTGGAGTGCTCTACCAAATCAGTGGCAATAAACTCACCAAAATACACCTAATAAATATTCTAATTTTTGGGAAAATATGTCGCCATATTTATAGCCTATTGTTTGCATAAGTTGACAAAACATATCAAGTGAGATGACTAGTAGAAATACAATTATAGACGCTTAGCTTTAAAGGCTTGGAAAGGCGAAAATGAGTTACTTCTATTCACTCCTTTATACATATGAATTTTGAATAAACTATTGACATCTACACTAATAAAGGCACAAGTGAGATTCAAAGTGTTTTATGGTATAAATGTAAAAAGCATGTAAAAATTTAGAACATTCCCAAAATTTGAAACAAGCAAATAATACATTTTAAGGGAGAGTATTATTATTACAAAATTTTACAAAGAACAGCCTAATATAGTTGCCCCCTTACAGAGCATTGGGGTGTGTGTGTGTGTGTGTGAGAGAGAGAGAGAGAGAGAGAGAAAGAGAGAGAGAGAGAGAGAGAGAGAGAGAGAGATAAAAACCACTGAATATGTTACAATTTATCTGTTGAACGCACTTTAAATTTTTACTTCAAGAAACTATAACTCAATGTGCCTGAACTATCCATCACATATATCTTATAAAATCATAGTTCACACTTTAATTCCTAGTTTAGCTTAAAAAGTGGGTATGACAACACTTGGGCATAACATGGAAATAATGACTCCAAAAAATTATAGCTACAAATGCTATTACAATTTGAACACACAAGAAGGCATTTTAAAAATTATTCCATCACAAAAATAGAAAGAAGGGGCATCTTACATGATAAAAGTAATATTAAGGTGGTTTTATGTTGAAACAATCATATTTGGTGGATCTTAATAAATGCACAAATATTGTACGTTGCACGTAGTTTCGCATTACTCCTTTGGAGTGTCCCAGAAGAGTTTATACTTTATTTTTCAATGTAGTAAAGTTATATTTGTTCTCAGATATGGCTCTTTCACGATATGCAATACATTCTTGGGAGTAACACAAGTACTTGAGTATGAATAATTATGTAAAGGAAATGTGTTATGTTCACCTTTACATTAGCATCTTAATCTCAATGATGCAAGTTAATTGGGACAAAGGGAGGATTAATTTAGCCATTTCTGCCATCTATGTTTACATGAGTCTATAGCTTCGCATCAAATATAACTATTATTTTTCCAAAAGATTGTAAGAGAGAAGAATCATAATCAACAAAACATCCATGCAATATGCTTCAAATGGGGGGAAAAAGGCAAGTCAAAGCCCGGAAAAAAACTAGGGAAAACGCATTATTCACGCACAATGATTATAATTGAGGGAGATATTAAAATATCATACAAAAGAATGCAGATGTTTCAGACAAGAGATGATTCCCAATATGTAAAGAATAGAAGAAGCACATTAAACACCTGTATGTAAAATACATTATCACATCATGTATCATTAGTTTTGCGTGGAATCTACTTCAAAAAATTATTAATCATCATATTTAATTCAACTGGATTGATCTACTAGATTGAAATGATAGTAAAAAAAATGGCTTTGCAGCTGTTAATGGCAACTTACTGCGGAAGAGATGCTTCTCCAGGCATGCAGAAGCCATATATTCGTAAACAAGCAACCTGTGCTCATCTTCACAGCAGTATCCAATCAGCTTTACAAGGTTGGGATGGCTAAGCTGTCCTAAGTAACTAACTTCTGTCTGCATCATAAAAGATCTATATTCATTACAGCCATTTTAATGCCACAAGCACACATAAAAGATCTATGTTCATTACAACCATTTCAATGCAACAAGCATATATCATATTCTACTACAGACCAAATAAGGATACTCGCATGAACTTGGGTCTTCAACAACATAATACATTAAGTTGAAGAGCAGATAATAGTAATTACTTTATCGTGTCTTGCTACAGCTACAGGGATAGAAAATATAATTTGAGCTTTAAGATTTTTAGAAGAGAATCTTAAGTCGTCAGTTTCATGTTAAGCTCCCAAAAATGACATTTTTGTAAGAGCTCTGTCTTGCTGTTTAATTGCACCTTAATTTCATTCTCTGTTGCTATCAACAGGCCCCAATCACAATAGATTAGAAATCTAGTCAAACTAAAATAGAGACTAGGCTTCTAGTTAAATTCATCTTTAGACAAATCCAAATCAACAACTTGGTTGTGCTTGAGTGAGATCTTAGCAACTGTACACAAGACAGAGCTCTGGCAATATTATGAGCATGATAATGAATACAAAGCATCAAAAAAGCAAGAGATGTATGAAGAAGTACCAGCCATTCTTTATCTCCTTGAAAACCATTTGGGTTCAGCTGCTTAATCGCCACCTCTGTGGTCTTGTAGCCTGGCCTCACGGTCTCATCTATAACTCCTCTATAAACTACTCCAAAGCCACCTTCCCCAAGAATTAGATCTGGTCGAAAGTGTTTTGTAGCCAACTTCATCTCTTCAAATGAAAAGATGTCAACTTTACTATATTCAGGATGCTGGCGGAGCTCTTTCACATCTTTTGGGGTAAACAAGAAGTTCGGGCTCTTGCTACCCTGGCGCTCCCCTTTACATCCTTCTTTACTCGTCGAAGTAGTTGTAGTTTGATTAAGTACAGGGGACATTCGACCAACTCGATGACCACCACCTGAATAACAACCAACCAAACAAATGAAGATAATTTGCAAAAAAAGTCATGTACACGGAACATTCTAAATGCTCCAAAAAAAAGGACTAATTCGAAACTCTTCCAAGGATTCCAACATTTCCCACTTCTTCAATGCAAGTCAATATTGCAGATTACAATAACCCTTTTTTGAGTAGAGTGTAATGCTACAAAACACAAGCAGCAAATTTTCTAATATTGTATTGCATAAGATATTTGCATTTACATAGTTTGATAATCATACTAACAACAACCACTCAGTATTGACTCTGTCAATGAGCCAGGTCCAAATACACCCTAAACAATTTCGACTATAATGAGGTTCAAATAACAAAACAATATAAACCATCAACAAAGTATAATCTAGAAAATTCTCATAGCTGAAAAGCATACATAAGCCAAAACCATCCTGAAAACTGAAAGAAAACTCATACATCAATTTACAATACAAACTAAAAGAGAAGTTTAAATAACATAACAATATAACCAACAAAAGTATAATCTCCCAAATTCTAATAAGAATCACCCCTACAAACAATATAAACCACATTAACTAATATATTATTCAACATTAATTTCTTGGCTTTGGCATTGTTATTGTTCTACATTAGTAACCCCCATTCAATCATATCATCAAAACAAACCCCATTCACATAATCAAACACCCAACAAATTCGAAGCATAAACAAAGATGGGTTCGAGACGATACCTCTCTGATTATTCCGAGGAGCTTGTTGATGTGGGCGATGTAGATTATAATGTTGGTGTTGTAAGTGTTGATGATATTGTTGATATTGTTGGTATTGTTGTTGTTTATGCAAATGTTGTTCCTCTTGCAAAGATTGTTGTTCAGATTCACTAGAACTAAAACACATTCCCATGAATTTCAACCCACCACTTTTTTTCTTTTGCTGTTTCATTTTTCCATCAACATTTGACATCTACCCAAATATTAATTTTTATATTCTTTCAAAAACTAACCCAAAAAAACCCAGAAAAAAATATACACCCCAATGTGCTAAATTACAAAAGATCAAACAAAAAAATTAAATTAAAAAAACCCAGAAAAATTCTATTCCATTCCAAAATGTCAGAAACAAAATCCTGAAATACCCCTAACAAAACGGTGATAATGTAGATAAAGGACAGATCTGATCTGGGTATTTACGGAATTTTAAAGGGTCGCCGGGAAAAGTTGGCCGGAGCTCCGGTGAAAGTTCGCCGGAGAAAATAATTACAGCTTTATTCAATGAAATTTACAACAAAATCTTCCAAAGAAATCCAAAAAGCTGATTTGTTGAATTGAAGGAGAGAAAAGAGGGGAGAGAAGAAGAAAAGAGGGAGCAATTTGGAAGGAGAGCCGCCTAAACCGGTAAACCATGAGAGGAGGAAAGGAAGAAGCTTGTTATTGAGGGACCCACAGTGTTGTTGGTGTTTTTTCTCTCTCCTGTGATATGTTGTTACTGAGTGCATGCCAAAACAGGCAGATACACCAGCAAAACATTCACCATTTACAACGGGTATTATTTTATCTCTTATCTCAAACCGACATTAATGTGATGTGCTGCTCTATATATATAAATTGGTAACGAAAATTCTGTGGAGTTCCTAAATAGGTAAGGATGGATATAAAGAATATGCTAAGATGTCATTGTCTAGAGGATTTACTTGCAATTTAGGAGGAATCACCATGGGATTGGATGCATGGATTGTTTATAGGGCTTGCAAACGGATCAGGTCGGGTCGGGTTCGTGTTCGGGTCACCTAGTTTCGGGTCAGCAAACCCCCAACCCGACCTGATCCATTTAACTTTTTCGGGTTGGAATTCCTAACCCGAACCTGATAATTTCGGGTTCGGGTCAACCCGAATTTGACCTGATGACCTGATTTTTATTTTATTTTTATTTATTTATTTATTTTTTATTTTTTTGGGCTAAATCAAATTTCAGAAAATTCACAAGTCTTCATTTCAAAACAAAATAAACAACAAAGTAACAAATATCCTAAATTCCTTAATTAGAAATTACAAACCAAAAATATTTTTATTAAAAATCAAACCTTACAAATCATACATTATAGGATGTATATAAGAAAAAGATGAGAATAGTAAACATCATCAGCTTCATCACACCCTTACGTCCTTTCACTAATTATAACTTAGCCTTTGCTACTAGATATCATCAGTAGTGTCGCCGCCGCCTCTCATATTTTTATAATTTATATGCGTGGGAATTGTTTGTCCTTCCTTATTCTTGAACTGCAATATGGATCTCCATTCTCCACTATTGAAGAGTGAGAAAAATAGAGAGGAAAATGGAAATATGAGAGAATGAGAGAAAAGAACCTCTTGCGGCTATGAGAACTGATTCGTGAGGTTGAGAATATTGAGAGGAGTGAAAGTGTGAGAGGATTTTAGGGTTTTAGTTTTTATTAGGACTTAAATATGGGCTTGGGCTGTTTCCTCTCCTTCAGTATTGTGGTTTTTTTTTTATTAATTTTTTTTTTGCTATTAACTTATTTCGGGTTAGATGGGTCGTTTTCGGGTTGAAAATTCCAACCTTAACCTGACCCATTTAATTATCAGGTCGGGTTCGTGTCGATCCATTTAAGTTTTCGGGTCAAGAATCTCAACCCAAACCCGCTATTTTCAGGTCGGGTTCGGGTCGGGTTTTCGGGTCGGGTCGATTTTTGCCGGCCCTAATTGTTTATCTTTGTATACGTGTGTCATGTGTCAAATCTATTAATGCGTAGAGGTGTCAATTACGGTGTTCGGGACAAGTTCGGTGAGGTTGGTCGGATCTATTTAATGATTGAATCAGGTTGAATTATTATGTCCATACAAGTCGAAATCTAAATTGAGTTTTGTTTGAGTCGATCGAGTCAGTTTTTAACCCTTCTAGTCATGAAGATATCACCATTCACTATGCTTTACGATTGTATTTTTTTTCCCGTCACAAGCAAATTAGAGATGATGATTTAAAAGACGGTATGAAACAGTTTAAAATTAAGCAGACTTGTTATTAAATTAGGCCCTCCGAAATGTAAAAATGCACAAATTTATTTCTTGTATTTGCTTAAGGTGGTTATTTGCTACCTTCACACAAAATACAACATTACAACAAGCAAAAACATAAATATCCTCATTACTAAGTTGCATTCTTTTTAAATTAACAAACATAAATATCCTCATTAAATATCTTGGTTAATTATAGAGCCAAAATATACATTAATATGTAAGCAAAAACATATCCGATCGAGTAGGGTCTTACAGAAATAATCTCGCAATTCAATTTAATTAGCTTGTAAATTTTTTTTAGTATTTACCCACATTAGTTCCCACACCTATCGTGACCCATAATTTTAGGTAACAAGTTGTAGTTTGGTTGTAAATGTAACAATTTATTTTATTGGAGTTGTAAATGTAAAAGAAGATAGCGGAATATATTTTATTATAAAAGTATACTCGAGATCGAGTAGAATATCATGCATTGTATTTCATGAATTTAAGATAGAGTGGGGTATGACTTTTATATAGTAAAAAGAAAAATGTGTTAGAATAATAGTGAGGTTTGTTTGAGAACTTGTATTATAGGTCCATTCGTACATAATAATAATTGGGTTTAGCGATTAGGTTCATTGTTAGGATCAAGATTATTCAAATATAGAGTTATATTTGCGTGAATATCTTTCGATTCATCTTAATAAGTACTCCCTCCATTTATAGTTTGATAAAACCAATCTGGTTTGACTTAAGAACAATTCGATTACCCAATTTGAAGTAATCCTATTTGATCCAAATGTACATTCGATTTTCATACACTAATCTATCATGACCCTAATTTAATTTGACCCAACCCAACAAATTCCAATATGAATCCGTTAGACATACCTAATTTGACAACCCAATTAACCTCCAACTTAGAATAATTTGAATGCTTAATAGTGCATGACATTTCTAATAAAATGCAGCCGTGTTATCTCTTGTTATTTTATTAAATAAATTAGGTTTATTCTCTTTAGTACATTCTCATTGGTAACAATTAATAATTTCCCGCATTCTCCTAATTAAGTCCTAAATAATATTAGTTTAGTTTTTTTTTTTTGAAAGCCGGATAGCACATATTATTAACGCATAGTAAGCGTGTCAACAAGTACATACGAAGAAACCTCGCTAGGAGCGTGGTTTTCCCAACATTGTTCACAACCGAACGGCATTAATCTAGCTAAGTGATGGGCTATATAAAATCCCATCACGTTTAACATTGGACCAAAAAATAGAAGAAAAAACAGAGCTAGAGAAGATGATGTCTTCAGCAATGCTATCAACAGTGGAAAGAGTGAGGGAGTTATTCTTTAACTTCTTAATCAGAACCTCTGAATCAGATTCAAGGATCACATCATTATAACCATGATCTTTCGCCTTCTTCAAGCCAAATAGAGTAGCCTTCCACCCAGCGTGCTTTAACTCTTCTCACAGCAGTAAAAAGTACCTTGCCAGAGCTATCACGAGCAACTGCCCCCAAGCCAATCCACCCCTCGTCCTTGGTTGAGGCGTCTACATTAATTTTAATAAACCCAGGTGGGGAGGAGACCACACCACTTTGTCAGAAGCCCGAGGAAGTCCCACCTTCCCATAGATTTTTTCAGTATACTCGCAAAAATCCACAACCATTGTGCTATGTCTGTCAAGAATTATGCTATCAGGCTCACTAGAGTGCTGGAAAAACCCACATATTCCACCTAAACCAGATGAACCAGGTAAGGAACAAGCTGCGCTAGTAAACCTTCTCGCTTAAATTATTAGCCCATAAAAGTAAAACCTCTCCAAAGTTGCTTGCGGATCCCAAGTTCAGAGCCTCAGAACAGCCACTGTCAGTCCACAAAGAACGAGTACATGGGCATGATATTGTAGCATGAATGATTGACTCCCTTTCTGAACCACACTAGAACAAGAAGGATCATTAATCAGGTGTCGTTGCTCAAGCACTCCCCGAGTTGGAAGTGAATTAGAGTAGCACTTCCAAATAAATGGCGAACTTTCGAAGACACTTTCAATTTCTAGATTTCGACCAAAAGTTCTCAAAATTCTCAAGCATAAAAAGACATACCCAGAATATTATGCAGACTTGACTTCATAGCTCCCATCCTTCGACCATTCCCACTTAAGAGTATCATCAGGTAGTCGATCACTAATGGGGATTGCCAAAATGAGATGCTGGTCACGTTCATTGAACACACTTTCCACCTTCCCCAAATCCTAGTCCTTCTCTTCCACATTAATCAAGTCAGCAACATAAGTGTACTCGTTTTACACGTTCTCGTTGATGGCTAACCTTCCCTCATCATCCAGAAGCCACGGATCATCCCATATTTTTATTTTCTTTCCATTCCCAACTTTCCATAGCAAACCATCGAGAACAAGAGCTTTTGAACTCTACAAACTTCGCCAAGAGAAGCTTGAAAAAGTACCCAAGGCAGCTTCAAAACCGAACAATTTGGGTAGTATTTGGCCTTAAACACTTGACTAAGCAATGAATCTTTCTGGGCAGCCAATCTCTAGAGCTGTTTCCCAATAAAGAATCATAAAATACTCCCAAATCTCGGAATCCCATACCACAAAGCCACTTGGGTTGACACAAAAAGGCCCAACTCTTCGAATGGATTTTTTCTCTTTGACATTTGAGCCCTACCAAAAACGTGCCATAAGATAATGAATTTCCTGAATCAGAGATGATGGAAATTTATAAACAACCATTAAATAAGTTGGGATGGCTTGAATGACGGCCTTCGAAATAACTTTTTTGCCGTCCCTCGAGAGAAGTTTCTCTTTCCACCCTTGTATTTTCTTTCATATTCGATCCTTCACAAAGGCAAACACGGCTTTCTTTGATCTCCCTACCTCCGTTGGCAATCCTAAGTACTTCACATGATTGTCAACCATTTTCATGCCAAGAATTGAGCTAAGAGTAACTCTAGAAGCAAGATCAACCCCCTTACTAAAAGTAACCTCCGACTTCTCAAGATTGATTTTTTGCTCGGAAGTTGCTTCATATTTGTTGAGAATATCAACAATGATTAAACATTCCTGTCGGGTGGCTCTCGTAAAAAGTAGGGCTGTCATCTGAAAAGAACAAATGAGAGATCTCTGGGCCTTTTCTGCTTGCTCGAACACCATGAATTTGGTTCTTCTCCGAAGCCAACCTTAGCATTCTAGAAAGAACGTCAGCCACTAGAATAAAAAGGTACTGAGAAATATGATCACCTTGACGGAGCCCTCTGGATGGAACTAAATCCCCTGAAGGTTCACCATTAATTATAAAAGAGTACTGCACGGTAGAGACAAATATCATAATCGTGTCAACCCAGGCTCCAACAAAGCCCAATTTTGTCAGAAGTCTCCGGAGAAAATCCCACTCTACACGATCGTAGGCTTTATTCATATCAAGCTTCATTAAAATATAACCCCGACGACTCTTAGCTCTCTTTTTCATAGTATGAAATAATTCAAGCGCAATTCGAGCATTATCAGTAATTAATCTCTTCGGAACAAAAGCTCTTTGGTTCTCAAAGACAAT